TTCTGTACTTGGCACGTAGATAGAACCTGGAGAAAAAATGGGACTAAAATTTGTGGAAAAGAGAAGCAAATTCAGACGTATAAAACACTGCGTGCAGTTTTAGAAGAAAATGTTGGTTACATTCAGGTTTGAATACAAATACCTATGCATTTGGAATGGATGCATAGAACTCAAATACATTTATTTCCATAAGAAAAATAATAAAAGACATACAATGCTGTCTGTATTAATTAAATTTGAATTAAAATTGTATTAATTAAATTAAATTTATTCCTAACCAAGAAGACCGCCAAAAAATTGCGCCCTCTTTAGTTGCTAATTGAGTATTCATTGTTATATTAAATACAGGGTGTTTCGGAATAAAATGTTCCAAAGTTGAGATTCGATAGACCATGATGCATAATCAGATTGATAATTTTAATTTTAACCACAGCATGCGCACATAAGTACTTAATATTATACCGAATTCAATTACATTAATTTTTTGGTTATTTATTGAATTTGCTATTATGCATTACGCTATACCATTATGCTCTATAGGAATATCGCTACATTTTGTAATCGATTACTTGTTGAACACAAGAAGTACGACGGATTCATATTCACTGTTTATTAAGAAAACTTTCTGAAGACTTTCCTGAATTTCAAGTGTAATCTCAAATGTAGGTACTTATTTCTGAAACACCCTGTATAATAATTATTAATATTAATGCACAATTTCGTTTTTACATACATACGTAATCCACGTAATTATTTTTTACGTGTACGTTTTTAAGCCAATATTATTGTTGCAAAGCCATCTGTTGAATTTTAAAAGTCGTTACGCTAGATTTTATTATTTTATTTTTGTTATTGTTGGACTTAAATATTGCAGTGGAAATTGACATTATGAAGATTAGATATACAGACTCAGTATTTCTTTCCACAAAAAATTTACCACAAATATGTAAAACTGTTGAATAAAGGACGGGTCACATCTATCCGATCCGACTCCGATCATACAATCGGACGAAGATCTGAGAGCCAAATGGTACTGGACTTTCAACGCCGTAGCTCACATCTTTCCACTACCTGCCCGATCCGTCTCCGTTTTTGTATCCGATCATGTTCCGATTTTGCTGGCTATTCGATGGGTATTTGCTATCCGATTGTCGGAAGAAAAAACGGTCCGCATTTTAGGTTGCGTCAGTGATACATTGGATATTTAAATATTTTGATTGGGCTTACAAAATTTTACTGATAGAAAACAAACCCAATTATTAATAACGCACATGATTCGTTGCAAGTATTAATTTATATCACTGTTTACACAGCAACTGTATGTGAAGACTCTGGCAAGGAATATTGGAAAAATAACTACTAAAGTGTACATTGTAAACAGTTCATGTAAATTTACTACTTCAGGTTTTAATGTTTTAATTCAACCCCTCATTTTGTAGACATTTTTATTATCTCCAAACCATCTCGTTGGGCATTCCGATTACTCCATTATTATATAATATTATAAACAAAAAGACAAAAATCGCATCGCATTGAATTTTTGGCAATAAATTGTTAATAACTAACATATGGACCGGAAATACGAGTGGAAAACAAATCCCTATTAATCTGATTATTATCCTTTATATAATCGCACAATTAGTTTGCTACTAGTCTTTTTGTCACGTTAAAGCATTTTTAAATGTCATGTTAGTTTGGCTTAATTCGGCAAGCTATAGTTTCCTAAAAGAGCCTAAAAACATAAAGCAAAAGTCTTATATCTAGTTCGGCTTTCAGTTTTCGATATTCAAAGTAAACCATCCGAGTGTCTATATGAAAAACGGTAAA